CCATCTCCCCCGGGGGCTGTTATGTTTGCTCGCTACCTTCACACACTGTGCTTGCCCCGCAGCCACTTCCGAACTGCGGAGAACGCTGTGAAGGAGGACGCCCTGGAACTGTTGATGCACGGTGGGTACCCGCTCTTTCCAGCTGAAGCAGGACTAACGGAGAGGTTGCTCTCCTGTGGCAGTTCAATGATGATATAAAGGCTAATGTGACTCGACCAGCTGGGCTGCACCCTCAGCCCATTCCTGTAATACGGGTCTGTAATCTTGGTGAACAATGCTGAGCTGTGCATGTTTGCTGTAAGGGCAGACCGACAGAAAATCCTCTTGCCTGCATCCCTGGAAAATACATCTTTGGGATGCGTCAGCTCAGAGTGATTGTTTCTGTGATGAAGGGCTGTGGGGACAGGATAAGCCAGTGTGCCCAAGGTTTGGGTTGCAGAGGGCAGCCCATGTTACAGGTGGTGGGAGATGAGCACACATCTTTGGTAATCTGATGACTGCTCTAAGTCTCCAAAAGAGGATGGCTGAGGGGCCTGGTAGGGAGTGCTCACAACTTTCTGCCTCTCTTCAGTGCTGTCGCGTCATTCTAATGAACTTTCTGCCATCTTGAACGACTCTGGGCTGAGCCTTGCCGACCGTGATGCTCACCTCAATGCTCTTAAGATGAACTGCTACTTGCTGGCTGGCCTGATGGATGCCTTTGAAATGGAAACCTGCAAGAATGGTTTGTGTCAGGCAGATCCTAGCAGGAAGGTAGGTGAAGGGACTTGGAGGAAAAGCAAGATGGTAAAAGTTGGAACATGTGTAAGCTCACTGAACTCTACAGTGTCTATTAGATGTTTGTGCTGGTTTGAAAAGCAAACCGGTGAGAGACTCTGAATCAGAAGTACAATTCAATATGAACAACACAACAAAACAACACAAATGCAACAGTACAAAAGAAAATAACCTGACAGAGTCTGAAAGTAACCTGACACCCTGTCAGTCAGGGTGTAGTAGTAGTCCCATTAAATGGTGGCTGTAGTCCCCCTAGAGTGATGGGGTTGTTGGAGCAATGATCCCGCAGATCTGGTTCTCTCCTGAAGGTCCAGCAGCAGCTCTTGTCCTCTGGGAATCCAGCAGGCAAAGGGCTACCTGTGCTGGTCCAAACCCCAGCTTATATCCCTGTGAGCATGTTTGGCTCCCACCCCATGGGGTGAGTCACCTCACCATGGGACAAGGCGATAAGGATCACTGGGAGGATGTGCCATGCATGGGTCCTTGACAGCCCGTTAATCAGAGACAGCCCCCTGAGGGAGCCATCATGTTTGCCCGAGGGAGGGACAAGGTGATAACGATCACTGCCCCACCTGCTTTAACTGCTTGTGGAGATGATAATAGAATACATACCATGGATAGCCCCCACACTACAACCCAGGACATTATAGCTGGATTTATATAAACATGATGCTAGCAAGAGCAGTGCATAATGTGGAGCAGTGGTGTTTCTGTGAAACTATGTATGGGAAACAGCCAAAGGGACAATCATGTGTCTAAACACAGCAGGGACTCAGATGCCCAGGCCTTTTTGGTTCACTCTTCAGTGTCTGGCTGATACTTACTGTGCCAGTATTTTCTCAGAAAATTCTTTCTGTGGGCAGAGATGATGGCAATGGATGCAGGTTTATCACGGAATCATTAAAGTTGGAAAATACCTCTGAGATCGTCAAGTCCAACCTGTGACCTAATGCCACCATGTCAATATCCTTGAACCACATCAGGCACTGGTGCTGGCCTCAGTCTGGGTGCCCATGGGTACCAGCCGTGAGCAGGGCTGGGCAGCTTGAGCCCAGAGAGAGGAACTGGGGAAAGAAATCTTGGTGTGATTCTGTGATCTCACATATTTCACTGTGTCTTTTGATGCTGCAGAATTTAACAGACATTTTATTTTTGAGGGAAACAGGGTGGCGATGTGTTGGGGTTTTTTGCCGTTGTCAAGCTGCTGGTGTACCTCCTTGTGTAATTTCCTTTCTAGAACAAGAAGAACCATGCCAAGACTTCTGAGTCCTTGTGGGAAGAGGAGAGGGAGCCACTCTTACGGCTGCTTACACAGCTGCTGCAGCTGGATCTCCGTCAACTTTGGGGTGGTATAGTGATGGAAGAAGAGTTTATCAGGTATGCAATGGAGCAGATGTAGAGATGGGATGAGTGAATGGTTTTCTGGAAGGGAGGATTAAATATTTCATCTGTCAGTGAGGTGGTATTGCAGTCCTCTATGAGGTGCAGATTGTTGGGAAACTGAGGAAATTATCTTGAGGCAAAAGTGATGTGTATAAGAATCACTCTCTTCCCTTGTGTAGGCCTCTCAAATTCTGATGCTTATGTTTTTAAGGATACTGGAGAATCTCTAATTTGATAGAAATGCTTGCCTAGTGCAGTGTGCTGGAGTGATGTTGGTGCAAGTTGTGATAGTAAGGTTTGCTGTCTCTCCTATCTGGGTTTAGGTTGATAACAGGAAGCTGCTACCGTATCCTGGAGAATCCAAATATTGGTTTTCAGAAGTATCGGGTCACACGGGAGGCTGTGACACATCTGCTCGCTGCAGCTCTGGTTCACTGTGACAACATGTTCAGTGAGTTCCTGCTCTTCTGCCTTCTTCCTGAAGCTATTCCAAGTTAACCTTTTCTGACCTCTTTATTCCTTCTGTCTGAAAGGTGCCACTCTGAAGATCATGCAAATGCTGCAGCACTTTGAACATGTAGCCCCAGTGCTTGCACAGGCTGTGAGCCTCTGGGCTAAAGAGTATGGTCTGAAAAGCCTGGTGGGTGAACTGCTAAGGTGAGAGAAATACCCTGAGACTTGTCCTCCTCTCTCTAGCAGCTTGAGGCATGCTATTCCTTGTTTCCTCTTTCTGTGCAGGGAAATGGGACAGAAATGTTCACAGGATCTGACTCATGAGGCTTCTGGAGTCAAGAGTTACGCTACATTTTTAACTGAACTGGCTGAACAGATTCCAGCTCTGGTGCTATCCAACATCAGTGTTCTCTTGCCTCACTTGGATGGGGAGGTATGTTTCTGCAGTGTTACCTGTCCAGAGAAGTCAAGTGATAGAGATGCTGCTTCACAGTTTTTATGTCTGAAAACAGAAACTCTTTCACAGAGCTCAAGTAGCCAAAACCTGCCTTTTAGAATAGGTTCTGACCTTAACTAAAAGATGCAAGGGAAACAGAAACCATGATATCTACTGTCTGGTTGTCACTGTCAGATATCAGAGAACAGGAGACTGCTTACTGGTCTGAGATCCTAGCTCTTGTTCCTTGTTAATGAGTTTGTAATTCTCTTACCTGTTCTTTAACTGCCCTTAAAGGCCATAAATGTTTCTCATGTCAGTTCTTGGCTTCTGTGGACTTAGCCGGATAACAGAGTTGGATTGGAATCACAGAATGGTTTGGGTTGGAAGGGACCTTAAAGATCATCCAATTCTAACACCCCTGCCATGGCAGAGGCAGCTTCCACTGGCCCAGTTTGCTCAAAACCCCATCCAGACTAGCCTTGAACACTTCCAGGGATGGAACTGCCACAGCTTCTCTGGGCAATCTGTTCCAGTGCCTCACAGTAAACAGTTTCTTCCCAATACCTAACCTAAACCTACTGTCTTTCAGTTTGAACCCATTCCCCCTTGTCCTATCACTGCATGCACTGGTAAAAAGTTCCTCTCCAGCTCTCTTGTACTGGAAGGTGCTATAATGTCTCCCCAGGGCCTTCTCCAGGCTGGACAACCCCAAGTCTCTCAGCCTATCTGCATAGGAAAGGTTACTCTGTCTTGCAGGCACAGCTGTGTTCATCCAAGATTAATACAATGTCCATGATGGAAAAATTCACTTAAGGCTGGAGCCTGGGACTTGTAAGGCTGAAACTCTGGGCATCTCTTGGCATATCAAGTCATGACGTTTTGTCTGTTCCTGGTTCAGCAACTTTTCTCTTTGCAGAGTTATATGATGCGAAATGCCGTTCTGTCAGCTATGGCAGAGGTGCTGATACAGGTGCTGAACGGTAACCAGCTGGAGGAAGCTGTCCGAGGCACTCGCGACAAGTTCCTGAAGATGCTGCAGGCCCATGTCCATGACATCAATAGCTTTGTGCGCAGCCGCGTGCTGCAGCTCTTCACTCGCATTGTTCAGTGCAAGGTAAGTCCGTGCTGGGGAAATGGTGGTGCCTCAGTCATCCCTTCCCCTGTTGTGCTTTCTAAGGGAATTTCTGCCACTCTGCTTTTTGTTTGCAGAGGCTGAAGTTTTAACAGAAAAAGATATTGTCCTGGTGTACTGTGGTGTCTGCAGTTTGTGTTTTCCAAGAGATCAAAGATCTAGGGGTGAGAGGGAACTGGGGAACAGAAATTAAATGCCACTCTTCATGAGTGGGACAAACTAGAAGAAAGAACACAAGCTCTCTTTGGACACTGGTATGGGAAAACATCACCCTTGGTAGATAGGCTAAGACTCAACAGGACCCTAGATAACCTACATCTTTGATTTCAGTGGAGGCTGGACCAGAAGATATCCAGAAGTCTCTTCAGATCTAGACTTTTCTGTAAATCTTTAATTTGTGTCTTGTACCACATGAATCTTTGCCCAAGTCTCTAAGTTTCCTTGGTAAGTTTGTCTGTGCTCTCATTGTGTGCTAGGCCCTGCCTTTGACTCAGTTCCAGTCTGTGGCATCGTTGGCTGTTGAGCGTCTCAAAGATAAATCTGTTATAGTAGTGAAAAGTGCAATCCAGCTCCTGGCTGCATTTTTGTCCAACAATCCCTTCTCCTGCAAGGTAATCCCAAATGATACGATGGATATGATAGATGCCTGTTTGTAGGCTGAGTATTTGTAGTGTGCTATAGCCAGGGCAGCAGCCTTTCTGGGTCTTGTGGGAGGGACAATGTTGCCTTTGAGTCTGCAAATGGGAGCTCTCTGATTTTCCCAGGTTCAGATCTGGCATTCTCTGGCTTGTCCTTCTCTTGGTGTAATTGGTAGCTATGCTGAAGGCCAGGAGGGATGTATTTGATTGAAATAAAAGCTGCAGCAGTTTGATTTGAATTCACTGTGGGGTTTCTTTCCTTAGAATCAGAATTAGTTTTTTGAATATTCTGCATAGAGCTGCAGCTCTTTGTGTTTAGCTGCACCTTCTGAACTTCTGAGCCTTAGACCAGCCATTTACAGCAGTTTCCATTCTAGGATGGTGGCCAGAGTCTACTATTCCAGTTTCCCAAAACAGAGTTATCTATGGGGATCCACAGCTAAAGCAGGGAGTGGAAGAGAAAGGAGGATAAGTAACATATTTCTTCTCTTCCTGGCATTGTCAGCTAAGCTGTGCTGATTTGGCTGAACCACTGAAGAAAGAAGTGCAGAAACTGCAAGAAATGAGGGACCGTAGCAAATCCACAGCAGGTAATTTTTTCTGCCTCTTTCTCCCCCTTCCAGGGCAGACCAGAAATTATTTTTCTTCATCTTTGCTCCCAGGTTGTGATAGCTTTTGTCTCTGATCTTACCCATGTGAAATGGTGAGGCCAGATAACTGGGATTAAACTCACAACAGTTTTTCATACAGTGGTGTTATAGAATGACCATATTAATGTCCATGCCTAGATCAACAGTCCATGTAACTAAGTATCCTATTTTCAGGATAAAAACTGAGAATATATATATGACCAACCTCCCAGATTTCCATTTTCAACCATTGAAGAACTGCTTGAGCCATAATTTTGGTCAGATACTAATTTAAACTTGATTTGTAGACAAGCACTAAGTCCAAGCCTAAACAAATGATGATTCTCTCTTTACCTTTTTTACCCTCAGTGGCTTCTTTTCTTATGCCAGAATTCTTGTCTTATTCTTACTGCAGTGTGCATGGGATCAGCAATAGGAATAGTGCCTGCTTGGGGAGGGGCAGGGGGAGAAGTAGAATTCTTGAGTTCCAGATGAGTTTTTCTCCCCAATTAGGCTGTTATCTGAGTCTGTGTTCTTCATTCCCTCTGTTCTTTAAATAGCTCCAGTGATTGCCCCAGAGGAAGAGTGGGAAGCAATGCTGCCAGAAGTTAGGGCTGCCATAGAGCAGCTCTTTGAACCACTGCAGGAAGAGGAAGAGGAGGTGCTGAAAGTTGAGGAAACAGTGGAGAGTACAGTGGACAAAATCACTAGGCTGCTGAAGAGGCTGAACTACAAGTAAGAAGGCTCTGCCATTTGAGTGTTTATCCCAAAGAGTGTTCTCTGTTTAAGAAGGGTTTGAGCTTCAGGGTGGATGGGTAATTTCCAGTAATACTACTCTGTAGGAAGAGACTAACATGGGCACCCAGCACAAGATGCTGGTAGGAGCTGCTTTCCCAGGTGTCCAGGGCAAAGTTGGATGGTTTTGCTTGTGTTCTGCCCTGATGGGTTGTTGATATTCTTCTCTTGGGCAATGTCATTGTCCAGGAGCGCCGCCCGCCTTACGCAGAAGGCCCTGAGTCAGTTCCAGGGGAAGGAACCCTTCAGTGGCCCCATGGAGGAAAACGAGCAGGCAGTAATCCTGGGTATTCTGAAGAGACTTTACACAGGTAACTATTGGAGATCACTCAGTTCCCGAAGTCCAAGATGATGCCAGAGCTGGACAAAAACCTTCTCAGATGCCCTGTCCCTCCTTCTGACCTCTAGAGCTCAGTCTGTGTGTACTTGACAGCTCATAGAGCTACACCAACTCTGGATCATTTGCTTACCGAGTGGCTTGGCATTTTGGCTGGATCATATTAGTCTAATTTAATTTCTGGCTGGAACAGTTCCATGTTTCCAGTAGAAGTGGTTTCTGATGCTTTGTCTCATGTAATATCTGCTGAGGGGAGTGAAGTCAGTTTTACCCTTCTGTCCTGTCCAAAGTTGTTAGGAGTTCTGCTTCCTGAACAGATGGTGGCACATGATGCTTACCCTTAGCAGCATTGACCAAGTATCTTGTTCAAGCAAAGTGTCTGGGGCTCAAGCCTCTGGATGTGTTTTTAAGACTTCACATGATTTATGTTTGGTGTTTCAGCACTAGATTGCTTAGCCATTCCCCTTCAGCACATTTCTATCAGAAGTCTACTGTCTAAAAATCTTCTTAGCTTTGCCAACCCTCCACACCTGTGCAAACTTTGCTAGAGAGTAGTAGTGTTTGCCTTTTCCGTACTCTGCCCTGATTCCCTTTTAGGACCTCATCCATCCTTGGGGAACTGTCAAGCTCAGATTAACCCCTTCAGCATGTTAATGGAGTTTACCCCACCTTTCTACACCCCTGTACTAAGCTGGCATGTCTGTGGAGCATCACATTGTAGTACTGGTACTTGCTATACAGCATGCTGAGATTTTGTAGCCACGTCTGATGGCAGAATTTGGTTTTTGTATCCTGACTCGTGAAAGGTTCACCTTGGGGTGGGGAGAGGAGGGTTAAAATGCCATGAACCATGCTTGTTTCTTTTGTATCTTCAATACTGCTCACAAACAAGTGTGCTGTGCAGGTTCACGCCCAGGTGAGAACAGTGAGGATCTTCCACATGACAACAATAGTTCTAAGACTGAAGAAGTTGTACAGGAAGAGCAGTCTCAAGCAGAGCTGGTCAAACAGGAGATGTTGGTGCAATACCTGCAAGATGCTTACAACTTCTCAGTGAAAATCACAGAAGCTCTGAACCTGATCAGCCAGATAATGTATGAGAACTCTGTCTCAGGTGTGTGAAATAGCCATATGTCCCTTTTTCCCCATTCAGCATTTGCAGATCTTTCCCCTTGCTGGAGAGGAGACATGGAAGTGGTGGAGCTCCAGGGGAAAGATTAGAGGAGCTGCTTTTAACAGTGGATGCCACAGGCACTTTCAGGATATTGGAAAAGCAAGCATCATCTAAATGGGTGTCACAAAGGGGTTAAATAGGGCATGAACAAGCTTTTTAGGAATCCATTTTATAAATGTTAAGGTTGAAAATGTTTTTAAAGCCAGGAGACCAAAATTACTTCACTTTTGGAAGTTCCCCTGCCCACTGTGGGGTGAGATGTATGTTCATTGTCTCAGCTGAGGTTCTCCCAGAGTAAGCTTGGCCAGTGAAGCTGGGCTTTGTTATGTGCTCAGTGCCCTGATACAGCTTTAGGTGTTATGCTGGCCACAAGAGGGGAACTGGGCAGCTGGTCTCATTCACTTCACCTTTCCTCAAACTATTCTGTAGCTAAATATGATCCTGATCAACAGGTTCTGTGGCCTAGTCCCCTTCAGGGCTGTAGTGAAAGGTAGTTGATAGGTAGGCCTTTGAGTGAATTCAGCTATTCGTATTTAATATCAGAACTACTGTAACCACTTAGAATTTTTTTGGAGTGTTTATCCTGAATTGGCATCCCCAAAAGGGCTGGGTCACAGAGAGGCATGAGTCCCTCTCCCATCCTCTCCAGCACATCCGCATGTTCTGGGATACAGATGTGTCTGGGCACTACAGCACCCTAGTGTCACGCAAACACTTCTGAAACTTCTGTGTTAAGGACTCATTTGTTACTTGTGATAGGCATGTGGGCTTCCCCAGCAAGGTTTGATGTCTTTAGCTGTTTGCACACATGAACTCCTGAGTCTGGTGTCTTACAGGTCATTCAAAGTTCAAGACTGAGAGAGTGCCCCTCACCTGATAAACACCTGGGGTTTTGTTGTAGGGGTTTTTTAATGGCTGTGCAGATTTTACTAACCTTCCATCCCCATGTTGTCCTATGCTGTAGTGTAAGGAAGGCAAATTCAGTGTCTGGACAACAGAGTGCTGAGACATTGTCTCCATCTGGAGATAGTATGCTGCTGGGTGAGGGGCTGGTGCTAAGGCATGTGTGTGCTCAGATTTAGGCTTTTGTGATTATCTAATTTTCCTGTTGCAAATTTCTATCTTCTGATGTGACTAGGGGCAGGGAAAGTATACCAGCTTGTCTGACAGATGTTCTTAATTCAGATCTGGTGCTTATTCTAGTATAAGCTCCTACTTGACCAGAGGTCAGACTCTAAGAACTGCTGTGGCTCTCTTGTGAGTGCTGTCTAACTTGATGCTTTTTCTTGTCTTATGAACAGAAGACTGAGCAGTATGTTTTAGGAGTAGACCCAATTTGTACATCAAATAGCTTAGTTCCTCTGGTTATAGCATTGCACTGGGACTTACATTCAGTTGTTGTCTGCTGTTAACCATGAGATACTATTTTTGCCCAAGCTATTGTTTCCCAAAAGATAATTTTGTTCTTTCTCAAACATGGTATCTGTGCTCTTTTTCTAAATGTATCACATTAGTTTCAGCTGAAATGTTAACCTGTGTCCATTTTCCTAATGTCCAGGACATTACAGCTTTGTACTAGTGATCCCATATGACTTGAGCCCTCAGCAGACAGCAGCAGTGATATTAGATGCTTCTAGAGCTTGCTGTGAGAGCAGTAGCCCTGTTCATTTATTCTTATGGGAATTAGGAAAGAACTGCGCTAATGCAACTGTTCTCTCTGCAGTGGTGCAGGAATCCATTGAGTTTTTTGTGACGGTCTCGCAGTTTGGTATGCCCCAGGCACTGCTTGGAGTCCGCAGAATGCTTCCCCTTATATGGTCCAAAGAGTCTGGTATTAAGGAAGCTGTGCTGAATGCCTACAGGCAGCTCTACCTGACCCCCAGCAAGGATTCAGAGAGGTATGAGTCTTCCTAATCGGATGGTTTTTTTTCCTTCTCCTCCCCTCCCCTTTCTGCTGTTGGGAAAGGGGTATGGACAGGAAGAGAACTGAAAGTTGCTATGCTTCATGCTGAGCTGAAATGTAAGGTTATATATCTGAATATCCCAGTCTTCCTGCAGGACCTACTGCTCAGCTTCTGCTCCTGGTTTGCCATAGTGTTGATGTGTGGGAAATTCATGCAGCAAAACTCCGTGAGACCTTGTGGAAGGAGATGCTGAGAATTGCTTTAGATTAAACTGTTATCAGGCACTCACTGTTCTCATAAATTTTGCTCTCATAGAAAGCACTGTCCCAAGATGCATGTGCCCAAATGGTGTGGTTAGGGTCCCTATAGGGTTAGGGAATAAGGGATGTCACTTAGGAGTGTTTGTCGTGCCAGCAGGGCTGTTGAGTGGCAACAATGAACTAATTTTTTTGAATGGCTGTTTCAGCCCTTTGGGAGTTGTTACAGAGTCATCCTATGTCCAAGAGTCATGTGTACTTCACCCTCTGTGGGCAAAGTTGTTGGCCAATGTCTGTTCCCCCATTTTGAGTTTCTTATAACTGTAGTTGCTCATCCTATTGGGGTAATAAGAGGAATGGTATACAGTGTGGTGTAAAGTTGGAGCTATATTTCTGTTACCAGAATGCAGGTTTTTTGCTGACAAGTCATACATGCTGTGACCTTACCCAGGTGTAGGCATTCTGCTTCTGTGTGCACAACACATTCCTCAGAGTTTGCTGGTGGTCTTGCTCTCAGTTGTCTTTGATTTTCCAATATACACCATTTCGTTATCCTTCATACTATACAAAGTTAGCTATTATTATAATTTGAGTGCTTTTACACAGATTTCTGTTTGCATTTCAGTAAGACTGATTTCAAATCTTTCTGTAACAAATCTCTGTGTGGCAGGTGAGAGGATGTTAAGGGGTCTTAGTTGCTTATCCTTTTTGAGGGTTTGGGGGTGGGAGCTGGGTACCACTTGCAGGCTTGTTTCTTCCATACTAGAGAGGAGCTATGTCTCCTCTGCTCTGGCACTTGCCCATTTTTCTTAGTACCTGCCCACTTGTAAATCCTGTTAGATGCACGTGCGATAATGTAGGTGTGATTCCTGGTGAGATGCATCATACATCACCCTCATCTGTGCCATAAGGGCAATAAAAAGCACCCACTGCTTATTTCTTTCAGCTCCCCTGCAGTTTGAGCTCTGACTTTATTTGTTCGTAGGGGGATTTTCATATGTTCTAGGGAATCATACTTTGACTTGTGGTTGAGATTAAACTGGGAAGTGGCTGCTGAGTGCCTCTGGTTGGGTCTTTGAGCACCAGGAGGAATATCAGTGCACAAGGCAAGGGACTTTTGAGCCCATGTCATGTTCATTGGCACTTGAGCTCGGTGACTTGGAGAGCTCAAGCCTGTGGTGGGGGAAGGTTTCCTGTCTCCAGGGATCAGCTCTGTTATCTAATAGATGTTCTCAAGCTTTCTGAATTGGACAGTAATTGACAGTTGTTTTTTCTTTACATTTTAATTGTATTATTATTATTGT